TCTTTCTAAAATTCACCAAATAAATAACGTAAACGGAAACAAAAATCTCGAACTAAAGATTAAGCAAAAGGACACAGAGGTACATTATACTAACGTAACTTCGGGTTCTTAGAAATAATATCACTGTGTTTGACGAGGAGTAATGAAAGATAACGGGCATGGCCGTTACACCCCCCTTGCCCTAAAATTTTCTGAAAAACATTTTTTCTCGAATTTCGAAAAAGTGAAGCGACAGGTTTGTTCAGAATTCGACGCTGATTCCGAAAATGTGTAATTCATTGTATTTTGTTGGGGGACGCAAAGTGTCCTTATCGGCCCACGTCCTTTTCCAGCTTCCAGATAATGTATTTTACTTAGGAGAAGGTAATTATTCCATAGATTAAGAGACGAAAAAACAAAACAACGTTCGGTCAAGTTTTAAACCCGATCCGATATTTTTCTTTGGTTATGCTTTTTTTACATAGAATCGTAAGAGTAAATGTAAATGTGCACATCCAATATTCACCTACAAAATTGTAAGCATTTAAAGGCTTATTGTATGATATTTTTATATTCCGCGGGATATTCTCGTAAGTCAAAGACCAAATTTCTGGAGTAAGGAAATCCTGATTTCGGAGTAAATTTTTTCAAAAAGCACGGGGGACCCCTCCCCAAAAGCAGAATTTTGTCATGAGCTGCATATGCTATCTTTTTGTTTTATAAACGAAGTTTTGATGATCAAACTCTTCGAATACTAACTTATGTTTAGGAAGTTTTGCCGCCATAAGCAGTTTCAACACATGTATCGCATTTTTCTACCTGATGCCGGCTTATGTCGATGAGTTTGTTGATATATTTAGATAGAGCATGAAAAACTGCATCGAACTGATATAGGCGTTTATATGATATGTTCGATGTATCATTTAGTACAGAAGTATTTTTTCTTTCAAATGCTTGCAAGACCTCTTCAGAATTCTTAAAAATATTTATACATTTTAAATAAAAGATGCAAAATCAAGTTGAATTAATACTTATTTCGTTCTTCAACTTGACTTTTTGCGATCTGGAGACCTATGATTAGAAAAAAGGCTGATATAATCAGACAAAAAGTAAATTAATTATATTCCAATAAATCTAGAATAATAAACAACATGTTCAATGCAATGATTGTCGTTTATTCGTCATGTATTAACGTTCTTTTCTTCAGTAGCTACAATACATACGAACACATTTTCTCTTGCTTCTTACCTGTCTGAGCGATAATACTCATAGAAAGAAAGAGAGAAAGAGTATCTCTGATGTTCGTACATACGTACTGTCGTAGTACTTCTTTCAAAGCTATAAACCTTCGCTCGTCACTTCAATAATCCTTTCTCCCTCTTTATTTTTCATAATTTCACGGCGGAAATTGATGGAAAATAAAGGGGGAGAAAGAATTTTTGAAGATCAGGAACAAAGAGGATAGGGGGTTGGTTGAATATTTAACGGGAGGTCCTTATTAACTCCTCTCAACCCCCCCTCCATCCCCTCCCGTTTCCTTATTGAGATAGGATTTTATGATAGATAATCTAGTTTAGTGAGGGGATTAATTCCTACATTTATTGGTATAAAAATACTTTTAAGCTCCTAAATATCTCCTCAATTTATGTAATTGAGCTAGTTGAACATTACTTTCAAGAATGCAGTCTCTATCACAATGAGAGACAAAATCTGAAACACGAAGTACATTTTCTAACCACGATTACAGTCGACACACTACTGCTGAATGATCTTAGTCTAGATGATGATTCGCTTGCAATTATTTTAAAAGTAGTAGTATTTTACATGAAGCAAACTAACAGATTTGACGATTAGCTAGTGGAACATTAATAAGTTTTATCGAAATTCTGCATCGAATAGACTATTTTAGAGGTCATGTGACATTACTAAACAGGAGATCAAAAATACTTCAAAGCCTGTTCGCAATGATCGATAAATAACAAGATTTTGAGCCTTTTTCAAGATTTATTCAAACATAGCAGATGTTGAAAATAGCTTCATTCGATAGACATTGAAGTTCTGCATTTAAGGCCATCATGCCATCTTGTTTTGAAGCTTTTTCTCTCCTATTTTGACCAAAAACGTCGATTGAAAACAATGTCATTCGATTGAACATGAAATTCTGCATCGAACAGAGTATTCTAGAGTATGATCACATTTAATACTATGAAATGACAATCAAAATATTTACTCAAAAACTTCGAAAATAGTCTATTAGATGCAGAACTTCAATGTCTATCGAATGAAGCTATTTTCAATATCTGCTAATACTAAAAATTCCGTAATTTAGTCAAAACTTAAGAGCTGAATAGTTTTTTCCCTCACTGTTCTAGATTTTTAGTATTATCACAGAAAGTTTTAATCTTCTAACTCTATTACTTGCTAAGCTATTGATTCTCTACTTAAGAAAAACCCATGTATTTTTCCAAACTCTGTGTTTATATTAGCTTTAATTCATTATTCAATACTGATCAATTATTACTGATGAAACAGGCTTTTCTGAAAGAGAGCGCTAAAAAATCTAAAATGAAGAGCAGTGGTTATTATTATTTTCAAGCCTTCAGGCTATGTAGTTTTGGATAATTGTAATTATCTGAAAATCGCACACAACAAATGAGGAGAAATATTTCATTTTTTTCCACGAGATAATAGATTTGAATAGTCCTCTTCAAATGATAGACGATAATGCACTGAATTTTACTGTATCCCTCTCTTCCCTAAACATCCTGTATGATTTTGAACAGATATGATACTACTCCATTATAAAAATTTTTAAACAGAAAAGGCATGGGTGTTAGAAACCGTGTTGTCGTATAGGTCTAACACCTTGAACATGAAAACTCTCCAGGTTATGCGAAATACTATGAGATGAAAGTGTGTCCTTCAGGAAGTAAAATATTGTATACAGTACGTCGAGCAAATTTCGTAATGTTCAATGTCCGATAGCAACTATGAAATCCCCATCGAAAGGAAAACGTGAGCTCGCATTGGGTTGCTACGAGGTTCGAACGCGTTCTCGAATTCAATCACATCTGTGTAGAAAAAAATTTTGAAATCTTTTGAACAAAAAGGATCATACGAACTGTGTAAAATCCAGTAAGGTGCAAGAAAAATTGCAAGAAGCGCAATGCTTACTCTTTGCGAATCATTACTTTTTTTCTTAGTTTGACCTTTATGAGAGTAATAAAAGAGTCATCTCCCGTTTACTTTTTCTTCTCTCTTCTTATTCATTCTGAAAGAGAAAAAGATTCAAAAGCAGTCTATTATGGAAAATAAAATAAAAACAAATTCTTCTGCAAGATTAGATAGTATCTTTATTACACAAGGCAAAAATCTTATTTTCATGAAATAAATCCAAATTGTACCGCTCAAACATAGAAACTTTTCTAGCCATACTTTTATTGCAAATGGAGAAAAATGACAAAGATCGTTGATCACTCATGATTAATAGCTCAGGATCAAAACACTAATGTAAATAGGACGACAAGGATGCATTAAGAGTGGCTTTTTGTACCTTCGAATGAATCATTTATGCCACATAAATATCTTTTCGATCAGCTGGTGTTTCGTAAAAGTGCTTCGACAACAATTTTTTCTGTTTGAGGTAGTAAATTAATTGAACCATCTGGTGCAACTTGTTTAAATCGTCCACCTGTTTTCTTGTTTGCTTCATCTACTGCAGTCGCTACAGCTTGAAATACTTGATTTGTATATACCCTGCCACCATTGTCAGCTAACATATGACCAATAATTTCAAGTAATTCAGAAACTTTTTCATCCTTTTGTTCTGCTGAACAACGATTGTTAACAGCCAAAAAACGATTACCACATTTTTCCATTAACTGTACTAATTTTGGATCGCGTTTTGCCATAAAATCATTGATATTCATGTCATCTGCTTCTAAATTACCAATCACAATTTTCTATCATTTTCATCGAGAGAATATATTCGACAAATGTTGACGTTTACTGTTACACACAACCAAACGTCAACAGCTATGATCTGTTCTCTTTCTGTTGTTGAAACACATACATGTCATACAAATACACCATGTAATTGCACAATTTCAAATGTGCACCTGCTTATATGGCACTTTGCAAAATATGATCATGGCGTGTTTGACGCCCCGGAGATGTAAAAAGAACAAAAAAAGACATAAAACTCGATGCGCGTGAAAACGCTGCAGAAAATACTAAAAAAAAGAAAAAAGCCCCCCGGCTTTTTTAGCTTCATTTTCTCTTTGTTATCTAGTGAAACTGTTTTGCTAAAACAGTCGTCCACCTGTTTTCTTGTTTGCTTCATCTACTGCAGTCGCTACAGCTTGAAATACTTGATTTGTGTATACCCTGCCACCATTGTCAGCTAACATATGATCAATAATTTCAAGTAATTCAGAAACTTTTTCATCCTTTTGTGCTATACGGAAAAATTTTACTGACGATCTCCTACTGAAATCTCCTTTGACTAAAGGAATAATATGATGAAGTTTATGTCTGGCAATTTCGTCATGGTTCATCGGTCCAGTGGCGGCGCAAGGTCAGTTTTTCAGGGGAAGCAATAAACTTTAAAATGAAATTACGTTCACTGTAATCCCTTTCTTTCTATTCGCATAGTACACAATTCGTCAGTAAAATTTTTCCGTATTGCATTTTCTAGATGTATTTTACTCGTTTCTTTCATTTTTTATTCTTGAAACGCTGTCAAGTGTTTGTCAATGAGTATTATTGACATTGATGACAAAAACACGTTCTTGTTCGAGAAGTATATTTAATTCTTTTGTTTATTTTCAAGATATTCTTTTTCTTTCATCTTTCTTCGATACAAAATCAGTTACAATTGCATCAGTATCAATTTGAAAATCTTTTTCGATATTTATTAATGCTAAACACGTTAATCGCTCTTGACCAGTTGTATTTCTTAGATAAGTTTTTATTCTTCTTAATGAAGAAAAACTTCTCTCGCAACCACACACATTAACTGGTATTGTCCATAGAATTCGTAACAATTTATTCATTGTTACAAGCGATAAATGAAAATTTTGTTCAACAAAAAATTTTGTCGATGTTCATAAACTGAATTCTTTCGTTCCATCAAAAGCTACTTTGTACAATCGTTGCTCTGCTCGTAAATCATCATAACTTACATTATAAAACTGAGCAATGGTTCTTAATTCATCTTCAACTAAAAATATTTTCGTCAAGAATAATTTTTCACACAAAACTATAATAGCTAAATAATTTTCATCAAATCTTTCTTTAATCGATGTAATAATAGTATCTAAAACGGCATAAAATGAATTATCACGATATCGATCTTCAATGGTTAAATTCGCTGGATTAATATCACCTCCACCAAAACGTAGTGGAACTTTTCGTTTTCGACGTTCTTTGGGTTCATCAATATTATTAGCTGTACAAATCTTCATTGATTCATTCCAGATTCTTTTAAAATCAGACTCATTTCGTAATGATTGAAGTGCATCAATTGTTACTTTCACTTGTCTTAATGCATCAGTTAAAGTTATATTTGAATGTTGTAAAAATTTCGATAATTTGCATGTAATTAGGTAAATTTCACTCATCATATAAACATGAAAAACAAAGTCAAAAGTTTTTAATACATTCAACAGAATAAATGAATCACCACTTTCAATCAATTCCAGTGTAGACAATATTTCTGAAAATCGACTGGAAATAGCTTTTAAACTTTCGTATCTACAAGTCCAACGTGTATCACATAATTCTTTCAACGAAACAGGTACAACACCACATTCTTTTTGTAAATCTTTAAAAACTTGATGTCGTTTGGGTGATGCTTCAATAAAATTATAGAGTGATTTTACAACACCAAAACAATTACGAACATCTACAACAGCTTCGGATACATCCACTAAGCATAAATTTCGAACATGACCATTGCAATGTACATATAAAGCTGTTGGAATAATCTGTGTAATACGAGTTGAAACACCTTTGAATTTGCCTCGCATGGCACTTGCTCCATCATAGCATTGCCCAACGATATATTCAGTATTTAAATCGACTTTCTTCAACCAGTTTAATAATAAATGAAATAAACCTTGTCCACTGGTATCAGAAGCTCTTTCAAACCCAATAAATCGTTCATAAATGTTGAATTGATCATCAGTATAACGAATTACTAAAGAAACTTGTTCGTGACGTGATATGTCTGAAGTTTCATCAATCATAATTGAATAATATGTGGAAGTTTTAATTTCAAGTACAATTTGTGATAAAATATGTTGTTGTATTATGGATAATATCTCGTTTTGAATAGAATGAT